GAGGGGGGTGGAGGGGGTGGTCAGCACAAACTCCGGCAGGTCGCGTCTTCTCTGCATCTGTGTTCTCACCTATGAATAGGACAAGAATAAACCCTCTCTCCCAGGGGTCATGAGGATTTAAACGAAATGGTCTTACACAGGTAGTTCTTTGCATTTGTGAGATGGCAATACCCACCCAGATAGGAGAGAGATATTGTGGGTCTGACTCCAGGGTTCGCTACTTAGTAGCTATGTCCTTAAGCGTGTTATTTAACCTGAGCCATCTGTAAAATGAGACTGATTATATCTGTTTAATTATATCTGATTATATCTGTCCAGCCAAATGCTGGACATACCATGTATCTACTCATTTCTATATAAATATGTCATTTTGCCACAAATGCCTCACATAAATGAGATAAAGGAACGTTTGGCATAGGGGTGTACTGAGTGTTTTTGCGGGGAGGGGCAAACTGGACTCAGGGGCTCCAGGAACTTACCTTTGTTAAAGCAGAAGGTAAATTGCAGAACCAGCATTTGAACCCAATGTTACTTAGAAATTATTTCAACTCATCAGCAGATACATTAATGGGATGGGCGCTCCCTCCCCCAGCTCACCCTGAGGTGGCCCTTGTAACTCATTCAGGAACAAGAGATCCAGGTAAATCCTAGTTCTCGCTTTTCTCTTTCCCTGTTTCTATACACTCAACCCTATATACAAGTCATTTCTCTAACCCCAGTAGCCCAGCCAGGGAGCTAGTAGGATCTTTGGGAAGCCATCGGGTCGAGTCGGTTTAGGACACAGGCCCGCAAGTTCAGCCCAGGCCGGGATAGGGCCCAGAGAAAGCCTCGGACTGGCCCCACGGCTCTTGGGGAAGGCAGGGCCATCGGAAGTTATCGGGGCCCAAAGACTTCCTGGCTCGCCAGCCCCTTCCTTCCGGAGCCCGACCCGGGCCCGGGCTGCTTCCCCGCGCGCGTCCCAGCCGCTGAGGGATTTGAACATGACAGGAGGTATCGGCAGGATAGCTTATCATCCCACCTCATGGTCACCAGTGCAGCCCACCCCGGTGGCATCGAGAATGCAGCGACCCAGCCACTCATCAGGGCGCGCACTGACGATGTCGTTGCGGCAGCCTTCCAGGTGGGGGCGCAGCTGCTGCAGCAGCATGCGCGAGAGCAGCACCCCAAAGCCTCCGTGGCAGTAGCGGCCGGGGGTGGGCTCTCCGCCGATGAAGTCCTGGGGCCGGCCCAGGTACAGGTGGGCGGCGGAGGCCAGGCTGAGGTGGCCAGTTAGGCGGGCCAGGCCGTGCGCCTCGGTGTAGGTGGTGTCAGGCACCAGGAAGAACCAGTCAAAGTCGTCGCCGTGCTGCTCCAGCAGGTGGCGCAGCGCCAGGTGCAGGTGCCCGATGGGTCGCTCCTCGCCCAGCGTCACCACCGCCATGCCAGGTG